AGTCCATGGGCCCCATGGTGGATCATTTCTTCCACTAAGTGAAGCAGATATGTGGTGTAGTGGGTGGAAGGGAGGCAGCCTGAAACTGGATAGTGAGCAACTCTGCCACTCACCAGCTGAGTCTCCTGAGGGTGAGTTACTTAAGGTGTCTCTACTCAGTTTCCTCATCTTTTCAATGGAGCTAAGAAATTATCTCACAGGGTTGTTGTGATTATAAAGCAGTTAACACTGGCAAAACACACTGAATTATGCCAGGCACATAATAGGAGCTCAAAATTAGCTGTTTTCCCCACCATAAGCATCAGTGTCACCACCACATCACCTGATGCTTGAGCATCTAAGGAGAAGTATTGCATTTATACGTTGTCTGGATGATCTGGATCACATACAGCAGTTACATAAGCCATTACAGACAGCTGCTTTCAATAATTATGTCAGAAGAAAGGAAAGAAACAGTCTATTATATTCATTCTGTACAAGCAGGCTTCTGTTTAGAGTCATCTCCTCTATTTATTACCTCCTATTTGGAAAAGAGTGACTCAAGCATGGATGTTTCTCTAAGACAACCCAACACACAAATCTAAGTCTATAGAACAAATTCATTAATGTTAACTGACCAATATACAAAGATCCTTATCAGTTGCCTTAAATCAGTGGTTTCTAATGAGAGGTGCGTCTCAGAGTCACCTGTGGAGCATGTAAAGAAAAAAACAATAACATGCTCAGGAACCCAGACAGGGAGGCTCTATACAGACATTCCCTAGATATTTGTCCTTCAAAAAAAATGAAAAATGCCAAGCCTCGGTCCCACTCAGTTCCCAGAATCTGGAACTGAGCAAATTTTTGAAGAAGTTCCCCAGATGGTTCTCATGAACAGTCAGGACTAAGAGTTATTGCTTTAAGGAAGTTCTTCTGACAAAAGCAAGACTTGATCCTATTCCTATACATTTTCAGAAGCATGTCCACAGATGACCCAATAGCAAGGTAAAATAGGGAGTTCTTGGATAACCTAGTATCACGGTGAAAACAAATAACAACAAAAGACAAGTACACTCTTGATTATCCAGCAGCGTGTTAAGTGGTTAGCAAACTAACCATGATTAAGGAAAGGGAATGGGTTCACCTTTCCCAACCCCCTTTCCATTCTGGGCCCTCTCATCTGCCTTCAACCAGTACAGGTTTTAGAAATGTGGGGGGTGGGCCCCTGTGCTAATTATCCTGGGTCACAATTGCACTTTAACTATGGTTAATATGCAAACTGATTAATCAGCCTTAGGATCATAAACAGGCGGTTAGGTGTACTGTGGGTGAGTCTATCCTTGGTGAAAAAGAAAAGCCCATGAAGAGTTAATTTTTATTCATTTTCCACTTTTACTTGTCAAAACAACTTTAACTGGGCAATGACTGGCAGTTTAATGGCTTTAGGGCAGTCATGTATATTTGCTTTAGGAATTCTGAATGTTTAAGACTTCTTGCATGCTTGCAGAAAAAACAATACAATGGCAAAACTTCACTTTGAAATTCATAAATACAGATTTGGAGGCACGATAGACATAAACTAGTAAATTTTTTGCCACTTAATTCTAATAGAAAGTGTTTAAATGTACTTTTGAAGTAAATGCTTCTCGTTAGCTTTGTAGAGTGTAACTAGATTCCTTTCTGTGACAGACTTTCTTTTGAGGAATTAGCATTTTCTCTCTTCTGTAATAAATGAGACACTGGTGTAGGGTCAGGAAGACCACAGTGCAGGTTTTCTAATATCCAGCAGACCGGGTAAAGGAGGAGTCAGAGTCCTCAGTGGTTTTTGCAGGCTTTTATTGGGATTTACCCGGTACACAGCAGCCAGGGGTGATGGGGGGCCGGGAGGCTGGCAGGCCTCCCAGCCCCCAGCAAATCCTCACTCTATCTGGGCTTGATGGCGTTCTCTCTGCTTCTCTGCTCACGGCTTCTCTGTTTCTTTCTCGGCTTCTGCTGGAGTCCCCGTGACGCTGACCTTAAAAGCCCAGTCTTAGCCCAGGTGAATCCCATCTACCTATGCCCACACCCTACTCCAGGTGCCCGCCATCAGGCATGCATTCAGGACCGCAAGGATCCATCATCTATCCTGATGGCGGAAGGGCAGAAAAGCCTGACATTTTTCCTTACCCTACACCGGGAACTACAAGAGTTAACAAGAGTTTTCCCCTTTCTTCCAACTTTTTGTATTTTTTAATAACGAAACTGTTATTTGGAAACAAGGAACAAAAATAAACGAGTTTAAGGGAAATCACTGTCATTGTACTTGTATGTCTTTTTTAACAAAACATTTTCATACATAACTTAATGTCAACAGTATGAACTAAGTGCTAAGATGCTTTGAAGTATTAAATGTAACTTTTGAAAAAAAATACTTGGATTTATTTAAAAAAATAAAATATTTAAATTCCAAGTTTTTATTTTGCAGGTATTCATACAAATAAAAAACTTGGAAAAACTATGTAAGGCAGACACTCCACCCAGCTCCAACAATCAACATTCTGCCTTATTGGCATGGTCTCCCTCCCCCTCTCCTTCTCAGCACATAGTGCGCCCCCACCCCTTTCAGGCTGAACTGCTTGAAAACAACTCAATGATTTCTTCATTCCTGAAAACTGCAGCATGCATACCCTAGAACAGATATTCTCCTGCGTAGCTTCAATACTGTTATCACTGCTCAAAAACCTTGATAATTTCCTAATAGCATAGCCAGTACATTTTCAAACGTCCCCAGATGTCCCTAACATGTCTTTATGCAGTTCATATTTTTTGCCAATCTCTGCTGAACTGATTATGGGCTGCTAGGGCCACAAATAATGCAAAATGCTCCTTCAACAGGCTAGTTCTGAGAGGAATGCCTGTCAGACCACAGGATATTCTGTAATCATTAAAGAAAGCAGCTTTCTGCTTTGATAGTTATCAGCTTAAGATTCATTAGTAAAAGTTTCATAATCTTCAGCTCTCCATTCTGCTGACTTCATCTAAGAAAGTGTTTGTGATGTCCACAGAGGTGCTTTTGAAATGAAATGAAAATAACAAACCGAGCAAAAGAAGATCAATTTTCCATAAAAGTTCTCTTTAGCTTTAATGTCTTTTTACAAATCCTTCTTGCTGTATAAATTCTGCCCTCTACCTGAGAAAGCAGTTTTTTAGTGCTAGCTAAGGTAGTGGTGTGAGAATCCCCAGAAGCCTATTTGTAGCCTGGAACCATCCCAGACATTTATATTTTACTTAAAGGTTGCTGCGGAGGTGGGAGGTGATGAAACTCTGGTGGTAATGACAGTGGCACTGAAGGGGTCATGACCCTGGTGAAGGTGATGGTGACATCATGGTAATGATAGTGGTAGTGGTCCCAATTTCAGGTCCTTGCCCCAAAGCAAGGACATATTTAGAAATATAACCCTATTTAGGTCCTACAAATGGGGTCTCGACCTACAGTTTTGTGAGTTTTACAGGATATTCTTAAGGTCTAGAGAATAACAGGCATTTGTCCACATAAAAGCCTTATCAATATATCCACTAACATCTCATTTTATTTTATTTTTTTTAAAGATTATTTATTTATACAAGCACTGGGTACAGTCAGAAGTGCAGGAGGGTGAGAGAATTCACCAGAGCCAGAGGGGAGAGCAGAGCAGGCAGAATGACAAAATACACTGCTGAGGGGAGCAGCAGGCGGCAGGAGAGGTCTGATCGCCATGTGGGACCCTTGCCTGGCGGCTGGGGATCGAACCGGTGCTGCAGAGGCTGCGGGCAGCTTCGCAACCCAGCGCTCAACCACTGTGCCACTGAGGAGGCCCTCACTAACATCTCATTTTAATTGGGAACATGAAAAGCTCAAGATTACCAAACTAGTAATGACTACACCCAGCCAAGCAGAGAGTTCTCACAAGACCTCAAATAGGACCCGGGCAATGTCTCTCACCCACGAGCTTCATTATTTGAGACAAGACTTTCTCTAGTGCTAACATTCACTTAAACGACAACATGCTATTGTACCTGTAATTCTTCAAAGAGCTTTTTTGTATATCCAAACACTGAATAGTCACTGTCTTCACCTCTGAAAACCCTACTTGCTCAGAGTATTCTTGAGATTGCAAAATAATGAAATATTTATTACAGATTCTTGTGAAGCACAATGCATATCTGTGCATGCACTTCAAGATGTGTGGGAAACCCAAAGGTCTGACTACCTGCTGCCCCACCTCTAACATGGTGATAAGTGACTATCACTTACTCATCTGCTCCAGTTTACCTTCACTGTGTCATGAACAAGTCCAGACCAATCCCACCAATTATTTACTTTGCTCAAATATTATAGGCAACCTTCAATGTTACTTCTATGGGTCAACAGTTTCATCCATCTTCATATCACCATGACACTCATTTAAAACCAGGTGTTATGACTCTAGAATAGTGACTCATCCTAATCCCATAGGCAGAGAACTATTTTGTTGAGACTTCCACCATGAAGCTAGTATCTATTCAACCAAAAGTTTTGTAAAGAAGCAACCACACATACACCAAGTGATTGCAGCAGAGATTCTGGTAGAAGGCAAAATCCTATCATATCTTGAGAAAGCCCAGCTTTGAGACAAAGGGGTCAAAAACATGATCAATCTTTACTCTCTAAAAACAATTTTAGCAAATTCCAACATGAACACATAGCTTATTAAGCAAAATCAAACATTCATGTGGCTAATGACAGTTGAAAACATTTAACCTAGAAATGAGAAAGGTACCGTGCCTTTCCAGGACTTTTTGAGTTCCCCCCTGTGGGATTTTAGAGACTCATTTGCACAAGAGAGGGATATTTATGTTTATGGTAGAGTGGATTTTTTTTTTCTTGAACTAGCAATATTAGATTTAAAAATGCAAACTCAAACATGCAGAAATAAAATGTTTGCCATGAAACAAAGAGCTTGATTCAACCACACAAATGAAAGTTTTAACAATCAAAGAGTATTTAAAAAAAAAATGCTTACCTGCTCTTTGGATGGCACGAGGAGTTCTTCGATCATCATGCTGTCCCGCGCATAGGAGCTTCTGTTCAAAGTGTAAGACCTATCCGAACTGAAGGAGCGAAGGCTGTTGTATTTACAGTTAACCATTCAAGAGTGGTTGATGATGATGAGATGAATAAAAGAAAATTAATGCATGCAACTTTAAGACCAGGTAAGATGGCTAAAAATATCAACAAAAGCTGTTCATGAAAAGACATTGTCACAAATAAAATTCCTTCATTATAGCTAAGGAAATCTCTTATGCTTTGACAATCTATCATTGTGTTTGGTTTAAAATCAGGTCCATTAGTGTGACATCTGTGAGAAGGCGAAATGCACGAGAACTTTGAATGTTTCATTTATGACAGTGGAACAAATGTGACAATTGAGAAAAACCAGATGAGTATAGAAAATCTGATGATTTTGTGAGATTTTTCTATGATAAGACCTTATGTCAGAGTCTCTTCTCTTTCTGGCCCCTATCTGCCTGGTTTACACTATTGAGTAGAATTATATCTGCTGTAAATGGGTCTGCTTATAAAGCTTTGGGTACTAGATATAAGTTGAATACAATTCAGAGCTCTGGTATATAGTTGCTACTCATAAGAAATATCAAGAAGGAAGTAGTGTTATGAACATATCATTCTTTACCATGTTTCTTGTATTTGAAAAATTCAAATTCCATGCATGGTTATTTTTTCTGTCATTATTCCACTCTTTCTTCCTTGTACCTTCTACTCTTTTCCATTCTAGCCTCTTTCAAATCCTACATACAGCCCTCCATTTTCCCAGAGTGCAATTCCCCTGATGTCCCGATATGCCACTCACCATGTGAAACTCTAAACTAAATGTCAACAGAGTAAAGGACTATTGGAGAATGGCTCTGCCTCGGTACCTGATAACCCCGAGTCTGACACAGGCCACACAGGCTGATGGGGAGAGCAGCTAACAGAAGCCTTGGCAGACACCTTATGATTCTCCAGAAACATGGAGAATGGAGGCTTGTAGGAGCTGCTAGAAGGCTAGCTCCCACTCACCTCCTTAGCTACCCTGGGAGGTTGCCATCAGGTAGCTTTTTACTGCCTCCTGTTTGGAATGAGGTATGAGGCTTCCACCCCACCCTCCTTGGCATAGAGCTAAAGGATCTGAAACTGCTTAGCTACTATCTAGAATTGGATCCTTGGCAGAGGGGCACCCTGCAACTGGTGTGGTAGCTATTAACATTCCTATTGTTTTGGTGTCCTCCTTTTTTGGTGCAGATAGCAAAGTAGTTGCCATCCATGACTGTCCCTGTAAGTAAACATAGCTGCCTGTCACCTTTACCAGTAGAATCAGTCAGACTTACGCCTTGCCTGATATGTACTTGACAGGAAAAAGAGTAAAGAAGTGGTAGATATGATAAATAAGAAATGATTCCTTGCTTTGCACAAAATGATTTCCCCCCCACTGCCTACTATACTAAAAATCCTCCCAAATGGGTGTTCTTATATCAAGATAAAGAGGCCCCTGAATCACAGGCATTGTTCTATGTGTCCACATAGATGGGGAGGAACATTCTTCTAGGATGAGAGCCATAGCTTTCACCAGAATGTCAAAGGAATCTCTGACCCAAAATAACTGTCATACAGAGTGGTATTTTGGGTATTCAGCAAATAATTAAGTGACTACTATGAGCAAGTCACAACACTAGAAACTGGATATAAAAGACAAAAAAGTCTTAAAAGTAAGCATCCTCTCTGTATAGAAGAGCTTACTTCCTCAGCCACAGGAGCTTCACCTTACGTGACCAATTGCATGAGCCTTAACTCCTCCTTTTTCCCGAATCAGTTACTAAAATTTTCTTCTGTTACTCTTGTTTCTGGCTCCTGCCCTTCTCTCAAATACAATACATGCTTCTCTCTAATGCAACAATATCCAATAGAAAGTTCTGTAATGATGAATATGTTCTAAGTTTGCACTGTCCAGTACAGTGGCCAATGGCATCTACTGAGCACCTGAAGGGTAGCTAGTGAGACTGAAGAACTGACTAGTTCAATTTTAACTAGTTTTAATTTAACTAGAACTGACTAGTTCAATTTTAACTAGTTTTAATTTAAATAGCCTGATGGAGTGGGGGCTATACTACTAGACAAAATGATTTCATACTATCGATAACAAGGTTCTATTTTGCACAAGGTATGTGATTGGAGAAGTAATGTGAAGCTCCACTCTCTGCATTGGATATTCACTACTTTAAATCATAGTTTGCATAGCATATGCTAATATTGGTGGTTCTGAGAATAGTTTTATAGTAAATGTGGACATATACTTAATTTCAGTTTTTAAATATATCGAAGATTTGTTGATACTTTTTAAACAGCCCTCTCTCTTTTAAATTATGTATGAGTACCAACTACAGAACAGAGCCAGAGTTGGAGAAGATGGCTTTGTTTTACATATTATCTAAAGTTCCTACTCCAGATTTTTCCAGACCAACTTACATTAAGCAGATGGAGTCCATTAAACCCATCAAGCTTCACTCTAAATCCTAATACACTGAAGTACTTTCAGCTACTAAAATTAGAGATTATTTGCATGGGGGTCTGGAAAGCATTAAATTGTTTTTAACTAACAACTAAATTGTTTTAACTAAGGTCAACTATATTATTTGTAGCCATCAGTATACCCTAAGTGTTAAATACAGTGTTAGAAAAACATATGCCTCAAAATTCTGAAGTTATACTAATATACCTAGCAGAACTCAAATAAAATAGCCACCAGCAAACAAAGACCCCTTCAAATTAAGGCATTTTCTCTATACCCAGTGCAATTTCTCCAGTTACTTCATGCATTATATAAACTTTGTTAAAGGAAAGAAATATTTCAAGTGTTCAATTTTGTGTAAGTAACATTTCTTATCAGATGTTTAGTTACTTGCTAATTTTTCTCAGAATCACAAAACTGATATTCTAAAGCTAGGCAGGGAAAAAAAAAAAAAAAGCACAGCACAGCACAGCACAGCACAGCACAGCACAGCACAGCACAGCATAATGCTGAAGAAAATAAAATGAGAAAATGAATCAGGGAAGGGAAGAGAAACACATGTCAAAGGACCATATTTTCTTACCTGATCTTGGGACTATTTTAAAGTATTTATAGAAAGAAAAAAAACAGGAGAAGTAGGAGGCCAAAAAAAATCAGACAGGGGAAAAAGAAAAAAATGTTATGGTTGCATGAATTACACACTTAATGTTTTCCTTTTTAAATGTTACACTCAGAATATTATATTTGGTAATGCTGTTACAATACTTTAAAAAGATACCAGCTAAATAGATTTTTTTTAATTTTCCTCTGAGCATAACATGAGTTGCCAATGTGGAAAAAAAATGAATTACATATAATAGCAACAAAGAATAACAGTGCAATCAAAATTAGAACTGTAAAAGCCTTAGAACTGACTTGAGAAAAAATCTTGAGATAATATTCTGGTTTCATATTTCACTGGATAACAGCTGCTACCATTTTCTGCATACAAATGACTGATTTACAAAATGTGTCTCTCACAGGTTATCAGAAGTAGAGAAGCCAGCTTGTTATTAGATACAAAATCTACTTAAATGTCTAAATAGAATTTTCCTTGTGATCCTTTAAGATACTGTAGATTATGCTGCTATCTGTGATTACCTGAAATATTACATGTTTTGGAAAGTTATTTCCCTTTCTTAATGATGATACCTGTTTCAGTAAGATTGTAAGGTCTTTTATAAATACATTTATCAAACAAAAATTCTGCTAAGTTATACGAGGTTTCAAATTCTGTTAGAAAAAGACTAACTGAAAGAAAGTCAATTTCATATCTAAGCTCCCTACCAGCAATGATACTGAGAATAAACTCCCAGGTTGACTTTGTGGGAAGTACCATTTACTATTAGACAATGAAACTTTTTACAACAGTTCCTTGAACTATAGGAAAATGTCCCCAGGGCTCTGGCTTAGGAGGTTTAATTATTAGCTTCAAAATAACTCAACAGTCAGCAAACATGCTGCTAACCCAAGCAGGGAAAAGAAGTCCCTGTCCAAATTCTGGACAAGGTCCTATTTCTTTCAGCTGGAGCCTGATAGATTTGAGCCAAGATTTTCCACTTACAAAAATTTTACACTTTTAAGGACTGAATTTGCCACCATTCCTGTCTGTGACTTCTGGTAAGAAGCTGCTATACTTCTAACATGTTTTTCGTAAACAAACTAATGGCATGATTTCAACAAATACTAAAACACTTGGTAGACAATGTTAATAAACACTAAGTTTTTTCAAGAAATGTTCTCTTTTAAGTCTCAGCCATGACTTATTCTTTCAGTAATGGTGAGAGACTATAGAACGATTAATACAAACATTTTTTACTTATTGGAAAATAAGATTTTTCTTCTAATATAGAACAAAATGTCACTTTGTTACATGTAACCCAGATTGGTTCTCCCAGTTCTGTTAGTGTCTTTTGCTACTATGCTTGAAGCATGACTGCAAGGTGGGAAAAAATAAAAGAACAAACAATTAACATGTTTAATCACATTAAATTAAGGACTGAATACCACAAAGGAAAATAACAGAGCATGGATACTGGCACTGAGAACATTTTACCAAGTTTACATCCTCATCCAAAGAGCACATTCTGGGATAATGTGAAAAATGGAAATGACTTGGTTTGTGACAAATCATGGTCGTTTTAAATTAGCTTTGAAACAATAAAATACCTGGCAGAACGGGCCCCCAGACTAAAGCCCATGTAGCCCTCTGCAGGCAGAGAATCATCGCCCAGTTCTTTAAGGTCCTGTGGCCCGAGATATTTGTCAGTGTCCCCTGTCATTGCATCTTCACCTGCAGATGTACAAAGCAAAGCACAATCAGAAGCTTCCCTTGTGACAATGCAGTTGGAGAGAAAACCTCTCCCTCGGTCATTAGCAAATCACCCATTTCCTCATATTCCTCTTCCCCTAGGCTCTGGATAATATTTGTAACTGCCGTTTAGAAGGAAAAAAGTACAGGTAAAGGTTAGTTTGTAATTTCAAGAGTGGAATTTAGCAGCAGAAAAAGGTCTGGATTATTAAATACCAATTTAAAACATTTCCCTATCTCCTTCCTCACCCTCAATCCCCAGCTGATTAGCAAGGTGAATCTTTAATGCCAGTTAGTTTTCCTCACCTTGCCCACGATGAGGGCAGCTTGTTTGAATGGACCTGGATAGCAAAATAAGAGCCACTTCCTCATTACTGTTCTTGAAATGATATATGGGAGGGGAACAGACTTTTTTAATGGTCTTCAAGCACATAGGATTTCAGTTCGTGGTTATGTAAGAAAGTAGCATGTTATTTACCTGAAGATATAACTGCTCAGTTGAGGAACTGTGGAACATATCGTTTTGGAAGTGTTTCTAAATCTATCAAATTAACAACTGTGCCAGCTGCACCAGTGTTCACAGGCTGTTTGGAAAGCAACTCTACCGTCCATAGAGATTGAATGGGAATGTCAGCAATTTGAAAGGACTATCTAAATTGTTCTCAAACTCTCAATACAAAGAGTTAATTACATAAAATAGTTTTATGAGCTACATAGGCATAACATGACCTCACATGGAAAAACCACATTCCAGGAGTGACAGGGCAGGTTTGTCGGATGCCTGCACCTCTGGAATGGTTCCCATCCTTCCTGAAATGTAGCACAGGCTGTAGAAAAGTTCTACACACAGGCAAACTTGATCTCTCATTCTCTCTGGATACAAGCTTGGCTTGGGGAAGAGACCTCCAAAGGCAGTATGTTATGTTTTCTCAAAGGTAACGTGATTCATCCATTCCAGCTGTATTTTCCAATTCCTTCTTTCAGTACCGTTTATAATTTCCATTCATTTAAACTCAGGAAACCACAGGAGCTCAACTTATAAACTACCAATCAAGTCTAAAAATATACTGTCAACTACTGTTTTTGCAAATGTTAAAACTAAACATTTTTTACTGCTACCAAAACCAAGAGATTATTTTAAGTAACTATTTACAGCTGGGTTATTTGCACATACATTGGATAAAAAACAAAACAGCACACACCAAGTACAACTTAAAGAAAGATCTTACTCTGTGGTAAAGCCATTTCCATCAGGCTGGGCTGATCAAATGTTTTCCTGATGTTCCAGGAATTCCTTAAGCAGTGATTCAGAATCTACCTTCAAATCAGCCCCAACAAACCAAACTACTGGGTTGTATCCATGTCTTCACCACCACGGCTGAGCTCCTCTCAGCATCTCGGCTTCTCTAGGCAATTGAGGAATTACACATCTTTCCCCACTCATCAGAGTTCAAGGATTTTCAATATTTTCAGATGAAAAAAAAAAAAACCAACAAAAAAGAAGAAAACCTGGCAACACTTAATTGAGAGTAAAATCCTTTTGATCACTCCGCAGACATCCTTTTAAAGCTCCTTCTGATTGGATTAAAAACTTCTCTGGCAAGCCTCTAGCAGGACAGAATGGTGACATAAATGCAAGCCCTTGAGTTATTTGTATGTAAATATGAGGACTGGTCCGGTGTAGACTTTCAGTAATTTGATACCAGTGCCCAGTGCCTAACTGGGTAACTGAGACAGCCTTAAAAGTAGAGAGCCCCAGCTAGCGAGGTGCTGCCTTTCAGGAGGCGGTGACACTTCTCCAATATGAATGAAGAAAGGGCTGAGCCAGGTAGAGGAAAAATAGGAGGAGAAAACAAAGAAGTGGCCCGGGCAGGGAGTGGCAGGGAGCTCCAGGCAAACTTTCAACTTTGTTCTCTGCTGGGAACACCGGGAGCCTGGGTTATTTATGGTCTCTGTCAGGTGGAAGGAGGGGGGGAGAGAGAGAGCTGAGCAAGGGCCTGCCCTTGAGTTGAGGTTGTGAAACTGTGGGGTAGAGGGAAGCGGCAACGATTCCCATAATGCTCTCCAAAAAGCATTGGGAAATATACAAATCACCGCAGCTTTTTATCAAGTTTGAGAAATGGAGCAAAAGTGAGACAAGCTGGGAGAGGGAAAAAAAAAAAAAAAAAAAAAAAAACAACACTCGTGGATGTTCTGCTTTAGTTTTTGGCACAAGTTCTTTCACCTCTTTAATACAAAAGGAACTGACTGGTTCTCCCTCCTTGAGAAGAGAGAGACCCACGTCCAGGGCGAGCTGGGTTGGCTGGAGCGTCTTTGCTGTGCAAACAGGAGGCAGTGCTGGTGGATGCTTCTGTCACTTTGCTGTTACATAGTTTTCCTCTCTCTGGGACTCCTGACCTGCCTTCTCAGCTGCTCCACCCTGTTTATGTTGGCAGTGGAGGAAAAAACTAGCAGGATTTCTGCATCCTCCATCTGGGTACACTGGAGAGGCAATTTCAATTGCTTTTTCTCAGAATAGCTGGAGAAGTAGGCTAGTTTAAGTAAAGGCTTTTGAAGTTATCTTGCAAATGATTTACAGCACTTTTTTATAATTGTGTGTCTATTTCTTAGATTGTTACCTAAACATACCCCACTTCCAATCTGCAGAACTGATGAAGTGAGACACAGACTTGCTTTTCTAGATAAATACATACATAAATTGATAACTTATCTAGTATTAAGATGATATGACAATGGGTGTTTTAATTTGATCAGCCTAACTATAATCAACATTGTAAATAGAAGGGAAGTCACTTATAAAGCCCGATCACTATTGAAAAATAGTCTGAAGCAAAAGAATGGTTTCCAATTCTGTAAAAATGCTGAAGAAGTCATAGTTGGAAAAGAGACTACGCCTGGAAGTTCAACTTTTTCCATGTCTGTGTTTAAAATCCAAACTAACAAAACCTTATTCAATGATGCTCACAATTCAAACGTCCTGACCAGGACTGCAAAGAGCTACCTTCCCCTTGATTTCTTGGCCAGCCTCCCTCTGGCTATTCTTCCACACCCAACCAGCTCTCCTGTTAAACAGAATTATCTCAGTTTCTAGAATTCCTTAAATTCATTAGACTTTTAGCAACGACATAGGGTGTACTCTCTTGATGGAAACTTTACCCCTCTTCTTCACCTGAATAATTTTGCAATCGGCTTTTTCGAGAACTCCCCATACATGCCCCTCACCATCTTAAGACAGGTGTTCCTTACTTTTAATATTAGAATGTATTACCAGTAAAAAACATCTGTTCAGTTTCTACACTGGATGGTGAGATTTCCCTAGATGAGGAACCAAGAGTTTCCTGGCCCTGGGAGATTGTAAATATCTCATAAGTATGTTTTAGAATTCATGTCTACTTTTTCTTAAACAAATTGGTGGTTTTGCTTTTTATCCCCATCAACAGGCCAAGCCACTTAGCACTCTTAACATCTCAAGCCTGATGACTGGTATATAGTAAGGTTTCAATAAAAGTAAGTTTCTAGTCTCTTTTACTCATCCTTTTTAGACTTCAAAAACTTTATCAGGGGAAGTCAATCGAAATGTAAGAAATTTGACTACAGAAGATCATCATGCTATAAAGAAGCACAAGATAGACAGAGAGGCTGCATGGTGGGAGACGCCAGTGAGCCCTCAGTGAGCCCTCAGTTCCAGCCATCCTTGTTGAGGTGACAAACCTCCGAATGGATGGTATATTGACCACTGTGCACGTTGTTCCTGTCTCCACTGCTATCTGCCTGCAATCTCACAAAGGATCGCAAGAACCCTGCTGAGCCCAGTTAACATACATAACCATGGGAGATAATAAATTAAGCTGCTGGATTTAGAGATAGGTTGTTACATTGTTGTAAGTAGCCCACACAGAAAGAAATGAGAAATGACAAGGTCCAAAGGTTATGAGAAATGACAAGGTCCTAGTGTTATAGGGCAGGGAGAGGGGCAGCCCAAACCCCGCAAACCTGCCTATTCTAAATGGGTTCTGCCATCCGCCTCATCAACACAAAACATATGAGACTTTAATGGGAAGGAACTTTAATAAAACTAGGAAACAATACAGGTAAGGCAAAGAGTCTAGTTTCTAAATGAAGCACCCAAATTTACCCGTCCCCTCGTGGGTAAAAGTCCATCCAAATGGGATTGGCCCAGAGCAAAGCCCCAAAGCCTGCCACAAGTCTAAAGCATCTTCCAGTGGGGACCCACAGCAAAGGGTCAGAAATAACCAGACAAGCCCGGAAGGAAAAGAGCAAAATCAATATCAAGATAAAAACTGCCATTGTCACCTCCCCATGGGTCTCACCCACATCTGTGTCACCCAGTCTACGACCAAAAGACAAGCGCAGTTTCTTCACGTGTCTCTAGGCTCCATGCGCCTCCTCCAGGTCTCCTGGCTCCATCCTGCTTCCTACCTCAGTCTCTTCTGCAGCTTCTCCTCTTCCTGCTCAGCTCCAGCCTCCCTTGGGTGGGGCAGGGAACCTCCCCCTTTCCTGGGGACCACCCTGTTACACTAGGGGTCACACACTAGTTGTCTTCTGCATCCCTAATCATTAGAGTTAGTTTTGTGGTATGTTGTATGATTATTGTACACAACATCCAGGAGAAGTAGGCAATGCTACTAGAAATAACCTCATCTATTTACGACTGACTTTATACCTTTCAAAACTATGAGAACAGATGTTCTTATTGTTAAAGAATCCAAACCCAAATCTACCTTGATCCCACCAGTAACCAAATACTAAAAGCTGTTCAGAGGCATTTCACTTCAATTATCACTTCAATTTCTAATCCAAGTAACTAATCTCCTTTTCCTTATTTTCCTATCATGGTGAGATGAAGAGATTTCTTATGTAATAATCAACCATTCAAAGATCCATAAACTTTGTCTACCTGGAAAGAATATAAAAAAAGAATCCAGAACATAGGAGGAAAAGAGAATATATTAAACCATTAT